AAGAAAATTTGTTCCTCTCTTTATCATTCTGTTCCTGCCTTAACCCACTCTCCAGAAGTAGCCAGAGTTAATAGTTTGGTATGTAGCCTCCCAGGCTTCCTTACATGCATTCTCATATATACATTCACACAAAAAATTTAAATGACATCATACTACAATGCTGTTTTACTAATTGCACTTTGTTCCACATAATATATCTTGAACTGTTTTAACACCAGTATGCAAATTCCTAACATGATAATAAAAATTCATTACAAAATTAAGAAGTTATCCATTAACAAACTACTCTTGACAGGAAGGTAGACAGAGAATGGGAAGATAATGGCTTGAAGAACTTGATATAGCTAAAGTTTCACTTACTCGGTTTAATTCAGATTTTCCAAGGAACTTGGATGGGCAGTATTGATATTGGAAGTCACTGCCTGGAAATTACAAAGATAACATAGTGTCAACAGCTTAAGTAGGTCCTTACTGGTTTTAAATGAATGGATTGACAGTAACTAGAGGTGTGGATTATGATGAATAACAAGGATGTAGCTAGAGATTGAACAATACTGCAAATGAAAGAAACTTTTCTTTTCCACCAGACATGAGTGAGCCATCGGTATTAATAGCTCAGCCCTCATTGGAAATGCCACTTTTGGCTTCAACTAATGAATGTTATGCTAAAATGATGACACCAACTCATGACAAGGAAGAGACAAAGACTTCTTCTAAGTGTTACATACAGGTCACTGGCATGACTTGTGCTTCCTGTGTAGCAAACATTGAACGAAATTTAAGACGAGAAGAAGGTGAGAAACATTTAAAGCCTGTTACTCATGTACTGATTTTGGGCTTCTGTCTGTTTTGTTCTTTTACGTGTTTTTTTTAACCATATTTATGATTCTTGCCTAGGCCTCATAAAGAGTATCAGTGATGGGCAGGACATCCCTGATTTCCTGAAAAGCAGTTCTTGTTAGTGCTGTGTTCCCTTGGATAACGTTCCTATATTAATGAAATTTGTAGGAAAGTAGTACATAAAATTGCTATTCTTCATGGACCTCAGTTGCAATGGATGTTAAGAAGCATACATTTTCTGATAAAGCTGTGCTTAAAATTAATAACTAGAATCTGTAAGAGTTTCAGTATTACCATTATCAGGACCAAATATCAAGCCCAAAACAAAATTTATTTAGAATTACATTGTACTCTTCTAACAGTTCAATCTCTGGTCTTTATTTGCAGTAAAGATGTTCAAAAGCTGCTTTATATTGTACATAAGTTTTAATTTTAGGTTATAAAATCTTATAAAATCTACAACACAGTTTTTATTGTTACACTTAAACTTTTCTTTTTTGGTGAATGAAAGTTTACAGAGCAAATTCATTTTCATTCAACAATTCATGCACAGTTGGTTTCATGTCGTTGATTGCAGTCTCCTCAGTGTAACATCACTTACCCTACTTCTCACTGTGTTTCTCGTTTGCTCCATACAGTTTTATTTTCTTTTTAATTTTTTTTAGATATTAATATTATCTATTTATTTATTTATTTTTGCAATGTTTCCTCCTCCTCCCCTCCCCTCTCCTCCCACCCCTGGTAACCAACAAAGAAAGTTTCCTTCCATATATAAACCTTTCCTTGACTTTTTACAATAATGAACTAATAGAATATTTGTCCTTCTCTGATTGACTTATTTCACTCAGCATAATGTCCTCCAAATTCATCCATGTTAGGTGATGTTTTGCAGATTCTACATTATGTTTTAAGGTTGCATAGTATTCCATTATGTGTATGTATCATAGTTTGGTTATTCATTCTTCTATTGATCTCCACCTAGGTTGTTTCCATCTTTTTGCTATTATAAATAGTGCTGCGATGAACATGGGTGTGCATATATCTATTCTTGTCCTGGCTGTCCCTTTTTTAGAATGTATACCTAGTAATGGGACTGCTGGGTCAAATGGTATTTCTAATTCCAACTTTTGAAGGACTCACCATACTACTTTCCACAGTGGTTGTATCATTTGACAGTCCCAGCAGCAGTGTATGAGAGTCCCAATCTCTCCACATCCTTGCCAGTATTTGTTATTTTCTGTCTTGTTGAACTTTGTTATTAGAGCTGGGGCCAGATAATATCTCATTGTTGTTTTGATTTACATCTCTCTAATGGGAGCTATGGTGGCGTAGTGCCTAAGGCATTTGACTACTAACAGGAAGGGTGGCAGTTCAAACCTACCAGCCACTCCTTGGAAATGAAGATTGGGAAATTTACTTCTGTAGAGACACCACCTCAGAAATCCAAGGAGGGGTTGCTATGAGTCAATGACTAATGATTGTGACCATTTCTTCATGTGTTTTTTGGCCCCCTGAACATCCTCTTTGGTGAAATGTCTATTCATATCTTCTGCCTATTTTTTAATTGGATTGTTTGTCCATTTTATGTTGAGATGTTGGAATTTTCTATAAATTTTAGAGATTAGTCCCTTGTCAGATATGTCATTAATGAAATTTGTTCCCAATCTGTAGGTTCTGTTTTTACTTTTTTGGATAAGTCTTTTGAAGTACATAAAAATTTAATTTTTAGAAGGTCCCATTCATCTAGTTTAGGAGCTCTGGTGGCGTAGTGCCTAAGACATTTGACTGCAAACCAGAAGGCTGGCAGTTCAAACCCACCAGCTACTCCTCAGAAGGAAGCTTGGGCAATCGACTTCTGTAGAGATACCATCTTGATAACCCAAGGAGGGGTCACTGTGAGTCGAATCGACTTGACAGCAGTGAGTTTATTCATCTAGTTTATCTTCTGCTATTTGTGCATTTTGGGTTATGCTTGACAGTCTATTTATGCCATAAATTAGGACCCCTAAATTTGCCCCTAGTTTTTCTTGAGGAACTTAATAATTTTAGGTTTCATATTAAACACTTTGATCCATCTGGAGTTAGTTTTTGTGTATGGTGTGAGGTACAGATCTTGTTTCATTTTTCTACAAATGGATATCCAGTTTTGCCAGTACCATTTGTTAAAGAGACCATTCTTCCTCATGTAATTGATTTTAGCCCTTTGTCGAAAATCAGCTGATCATAGGTTGATAGATCTATTTCTCGGTTCTCAATTCTGTTCCACTGGTCTATGTGTCTGTCGTTGTACCAGTACCAGGCTGTTTTGACTAAGGTGGCTGTACAGTAGGTTTTGAGATCATGGAATGTGAGACCTCCTGCTTTGTTCTTCTTCAGTAGTTGCTTTGCTTATCTGAGGTCTCTTTCCTTTCCATATAAAGTTAGTGATTATTTTTCCATATCCCTAAAGAATGTTGATGGGA